AATTTGTGGGTGTGGGTGTGTCTGAAGTTTGCATCGTGACCCATACTCTCCTTGCATCCCTTCCCAATATAATCTATTGCCACGTGCAGCCTGGAAAATAACAGGCCTGCATTTTCTTTCACCCCTGCGTGCCCGTGGCAATCCACATGGCTGACATATTTTATGAGTTGATTCTCTTCTCACTTATACCAGTGATTTCAATGGATTTACTCTTAAAATACGCTAGTGTAAAACAGAGGAGAATCCAATCCTTTATAATGTGCCTAAGGGACATGACTGTCTGTGCATAATAATAATAATGATGATGATTAGGGCCAGCTATCATCCTCCCTTTAGGAAGGAAGGTGTGTGAGTGTTGCTTTGTGGATTCATCCCCATTTCAAGGAGGCGGGGAGTGTGAGTGAGACACACAAGTGGACAGTCCCCCATGGGCTGAAGCTGGGGTGGACATGCACTGTCTCCCTTATAGCCCCATGGAGCTTGCCTAGAAAAGGTAACAGTCTAGGGCTCCTGGCGGAAGGCAGTACCTTCCTACCTTCCTCGGTGGAATGGCCAGAGGGCTGGGGCTTCCCAGACAGCATGGCTGCTATAGCACTGTGGGGTGAGCACCAGGAGAAGGGGTGCAAAGAATGCAAGGCCTGTGCACCATCAGGCCTTAGGGCTTCACAAAGCACCCAGGGAAGCCCTCTCCCCCACCCCCCTGCTGGTCAGTTGGATCAGCCTTGCAGGCAGGAGGGGGGCAAGGAGGAGCAAGCCGCAGCACACCACTCTGGGGAGGAGAAGATGAGGTGAGGTGAGGTGAGGCCTTGGGGAAGGGGCTGGAATTGGGGCATACCCCCTCCAGCCCCCTTTGTGAACACCCCCACGACTCCAGCCCACCCCTCAGCCCCCTGCCCACCCTAACCCATGCACCCCCCCCCCCAGCGCCCTGAGCCCCTGGCCCTGACCTGACCCTGCATTCCCCTCACACCTCCTCAGCATCCCCCCACCCCTCCCCAGCCCCCTTCCCTGACCCCTGCACCCCCCACACCTCCCCTGCCCTGACTCCTGCATCCCCCTCACACACACACAGCCCCCTGCACACCCCCTCACCCCCCGCCCCCCCACCCACCCCCCGCCCCCCCA